TCCCTTAATTAAGGGAGAAAGCTCCATCAGGCCTGCTCAATTTGCTCCTCCTTGATGGTGGTCCACGACGGGCTTTTCCCGCGAAAACGGGTGGTCCGTTGTTGGGAAGCCCTGCCCTAGAATATCTTAATGAATTATGAGCGAGTCGCCGGCGCCGCGCCGCTCAATTTTCCGCGCGTCCTCATGACACCGGATGTCGATATGGAAGCCCAGACATGAGTCACATGTCTGAGCGAATGCGGGAAAATCCTCGATTCCCGCGGCTGGACTTCACTTCTTCCGAAAACACACGTCTGGCTTGAGGTGCTAAGCGAGCCGCTTCTTGCTGCTCGATTCGGAGGCAGGCCGACTGTATGACATCATTGATATTTCCGCCGGAAAGAGACCGGAGCACGTAATCAGACATGGAATCGCTCGATGGACAATCGGTCTTCATCCGTCTTCTCTAACGGTACAGGACGGTCTACGAGTCCCATGTACCCAAGGAGCGAGATTCGAGAGCGTTGGGCTCGGACCCAATACGTATGACATACGACTAGGGCTGGAAAGTTAGCGCGGTCGCGCCGATGGCCGTGAATAATTACGGTATTTCCAGGCGATCCTTCATAAAAAGTCGATGCGGGGTGAAAATGGAAACTCAACGCCGTGAATCTTCGGAAAAAATGCCGTGAATGATCCCCAGCCTTACACATATATTATATGATACTACAAAATCCTATCGGCAAAATACCGGGATATTGATTGAGGAGCGATTCGAGATGCCGAAGGATTCATAGGTATGTATGTATTGCTGCTCGAACCATTGCGGCGGATGACGTGAGCTGCGACCGTCGGACTCGGGCAGCTCTTGCGACAATCCAAGAGGCGGGTGCGTTCCGCCTTGGGTTCGAGCATTGAGAGGCGCTCCTGATGAGCCCGAGGGCTCCCCACTTGACTCCAGCTCTTTCTCCCGATGATGTGACTTCTTAGGCTACTTCCTTCGCTCCCGCGACATCGATCACAGACTTGTTCAAAAGCGGCGTGAGTTCCTCATCGATGAATTCGAATATATGAATGTTGTACAAGATTGTCAGCATCAACATAGCGTCATACTTCTCCTTGTGATCGAGGAAGCTCAAGTCACAGATTGCGTGCTTTATCTGACGTTTCTGCAATGAATATCGGTATACAGGTAAAGAGATAAGTCTATGCTCTATTCCGGCTCACTACGACTTATAAGCTCTCCGACACGGCGACACGGTGTGGACGCCAGTCGTCGTTGATTGAATGAAAAAAGAATCCCTCTGTGACAGGATACGCTTGTCGACTCCTCGGGATTTTGAAACGAGCCGCACGAGACCGACAAGAGTGTTGAATCCAGATATCATGAGCCGCGATTTCATCAAGTACGAGGCGCTCGAGCAGAGGAAGTCGCCGGATTGATCTTGGCTCAGTCGCAGAATTCTTGCGGATACTCACGTCCACTTCAATCAAATCTAGACGGCCCTCGTCCAGCTCAGTGACGTTGAGCTTGAATGTCGTGAAGTGGTGCGGCTTATGGCACGTGTACGCATGCGCGACGTAGAAATGCAATTTGTAGAATCGCAATCGGATTCCGCTAAAATCTACTTTCACGGTGACCGTCCATGGGGCTACCGGGAATGTGAATTATCATTTTTTAATCGACTATTGGACACCGTGTACGAGGCACTTCGGGCACGATGCGGTACCTCCTGGGCTAATAGTCACATCGCTGAATCGCTTCAGTCGGATATCGATGAGTGAGTTCTTGTACAATTTGTATTTAAAGTACAGATAATCCTCGAAACCCCGGACCTCATAACGGTAGTCTCCACGGAAGTTTTCCGACGTCTTTTCGAGAATGTCGTCAACGACGTTGTTCATGCTGACCACCGTCAGACCTAAGGAAGGGGTAGCAAGAGCGGGTCTCATAGGAAGAGTAATTATGTAATCATGAATTCATCAAATTATTCCCCTCTTCAAGAAAAGCTTGAAGACGACCCGAGAGTGGAATCGAACGATGCAGGTCGCTTACGATCAGGAACGGGTTCCTGGGTCGGGACCGGGTCCTCAGTGAGCAGCTCAAGGATCTCGGAAAATGCTATTTGAGATAGAGAGAAAGTATTTTTAGCTTAATGCAAACTCTTGGAGGTCCCAGAGCCGAGAAACTCCGGCACCGCTTCCCAATCTGGAAACTCGAATCATTCATCGATGACTCCGGATCAATATGAGTCGGAAAAACGACCGGAGTCACTTACCACTACCTTCGGTTCCATCATCGTCGCGGTCAGATACGATCTTGTAAGCGATTCCCGCAAGCACCGATGCAATGAATAATATCGTGAAGCATCCCCACCATCTCTTCGGTTTGGTTGGCGAGAGCTCAGGTCGACTATCCGAGCGAGTCCCTCTCTCCGGGCTCGTCTCGTGAGGCTCCGGTGGGAAAGTTTGTTCGGGCCGTTCTGGAATAGTTCATTGAGCCAAATCGGTAAGAACTCTAAAGGGAGAGGTTCATCGCGGCAGATATGGTCGCATCCTGCATCGTGGAAGAGCACGGATACAAAATGTTTGCTTGCACAAGTCAGGAGTCAGGAATCGGTTCGTGCTAGGCTAGAGGTCGAGAATTCGGCTCGAGAATTGCCTTTTCTCTCGTATTTCCGAGACGCGCCTAGCATGATTTACTGGTGGGCTCTCCTAATTTCGGCAACACTCCGCGTACCATCGCCATCTGTGAGAATTTCTGGCTCCATTCGTCGCGGCAGAAATCGAGTCCCGGCTTACAAGGAATTGATTCATAGAGGGACACATAGGTACAGGAGAGGAAACACAGCCGGGTACGCTTCGTTGTTCCAGGCTTCGGACGCGCGTGAATCCGGATCGCGATGGGCGACGCAAGCTTGAGGAGGTGTCCGGTGGAGATGAGTGAGCCCGAGATATCGACTCCCCCCCGCCCGGTCCCGGCTGAGTCGGCCATGTTATCTTAGCAGCTTTATTCGGCCAACCCGCTAATTAGGCTCGAAGAGCCGGTCCCGGTCCGGTCGGAGACAGATTGAGCGGCTTAGGTTACATAAGCGGAGCGCAGCGCAGTGGACCCCATCCCCTTCGGATGGACGCGGGATTTGAGTGCTTCACTCCGAGTCAGTGGCGGATCCAGGGGGGGG